ATCTATCTATCTATCTATCTATCTATCTATCTATCTATCTATCTATCTAAAAATGTATCCATCCATCCAAATGACCTCATTACAAATTCAGAATCATCTAAAAACCTGATTGGTTAAAAACATATGATACCATTCAGACATCAGTGTCTGATGGAGTCACTGATTAGACTTATTAGAATGAGTTTTAACTCCATCTTTCTAGCTACACACACACACACACACACTCCATGGATTAAAGTGTAACAAACATTTTTACCTGAGATTCCCCACCATGCCCCCCTGTGCATCTCCCCCCGTCCAGGCAGCGGTCAGCAGTCGGTGACCGGGGTGGAGGCGGCGGACGACGCTAACAGCTACTGGCAGATCCGGGGGCGGCCCAGCCGGCCCTGCCAGCGGGGGGCAGCCGTCCAGTGCGGCCAGGCCATCCGCATCACGCACATGAAGACTGGCCGCAACCTCCACTCCCACCACTTCAGCTCCCCGCTGTCCAACAACCAGGTGACCCCCCTCTCCGGCCACACTTTAACCCCCCAGTGTCACCCTCCGTTCACTGAACCTTCAGTAGGGAGAAACAAGATATGATGTTTTTCCAGATTCAAGACATAGTTAGATGTCTTTTACTGGTTACAAAATGAGCCATACATGAACAAATTCTCGTATTATTTTATTCTGGCCCCCCAAAAATATTTCGGGCCAATTAAAAGAATTTCAGACCCCAAAAATATTTTTTGCTATTTTACTAAATAAAATTACATTTGGATTTAACATTTATTATTACTTACTTTTTTAAATTAAATTAGTTTTTGGTTGTTTTGAATCCACAAAATACTTTTTTGGGGCCAGACTAGAGTTTAGCGGACTCTGTTCCTGATACACGGGAATCCATGTATTCGTCCGACCACTTTCTTTTTTTGCTCCACATACAGTAGAACCCCTACAGAGGAATTTAACCGGTTCCAGGACCGACTTTGTATGTTAAAATATTGGTATGTTGGTTCAAATCTTCCATCAGAATACAATGTAATTTGTTCCACAGCCCAAAAACCTACGGCAACTCCTTAATAAATACTGCAGATAATCACACATAGCAAGAAAAAAAATGACTTCTAGAAGAGAGATGGAAAAAAAATAAATGATAAAGAAATAATCAATAAAAAGGGTTTTTATGGCAGGTAGAGACCTAGATACAGGACGTACTCCAACTTACTCTGACTTTACTACCTGGACTTTAAACTAACTTAGCTTAGTTATTTTGATTTAATTTTCATATTTTATACCTTTTTTCTATGACTTCGTTGTATGTTGGACATTTAATTCGGGTGTCGAGTCGAATATTTACTCAAATATCTCCCCCTGTCCCCTCAGGAGGTGAGCGCCTTCGGGGAGAACGGGGAGGGGGACGACCTGGACGTGTGGACGGTCCAGTGCGACGGCGTCCACTGGGAGCGGGACGAGGCGGTGCGCTTCAAGCACGCCGGCACGGACGCCTTCCTGAGCGTGACGGGCGAGGCCTACGGCCACCCCATCCGCGGCCAGCGCGAGGTGCACGCCATGGGCGCGCCCGGCCCGCACGGCTGGTGGCGCGCCATGGAGGGCGTCTTCATCCAGCCCAGCCAGGAGCCGCTGCGCCACGACGAGCTCTGAGGACCCCCCCCCAAAGAGGCCCCGCCCCCAGGAGCTCTGACCCCCAACCACCGGGAGGCCCCGCTCCCCCCGGCCAGTCTCCTCCCGATTGGCGTAACTAAAGGACTGAACGGGTGTTTTATATTCGATAGAAGTGGTGAGGCCTTGTTGTTGGGCTTTTTTGTTTGTTTACATGAGTCTTTTCTGGGGGGTTAGAGGGTGTTTTCCACCTGGTTTGGTAGTCCAGAATTTTTTTTTTCTTCCAATTGTCATGGATTTATTTAGCATTTTGTTAATTTATGTGATGACTTGGTTAATTATGGCACATGACCTTATTGAGGGACTTACGGGTGAGAACAGCGGCTGTGTGAAGATTTGTGACTATTTCTTTTCTTTCCGTTTTGAATGTGGGTGATGACACTGCGGCTGGTAGACTAATTATTCCAAAACAGTTCATGCTCCGCCTCTCCAAATGCTTTTGTTTTGCACTTCACGGAGCAGGCATCTGGGAAACTCATTTCTATTTTTAGGAAAGTGGGTCTGGTTGAAGTCCAGGTGGTCGTCCTGGAGACGGCAGCTGATGAGCTGCTCATTCCTGTGAACTCTGCATCCTTTTGATACTGAATAAAAAGCTGGTCATGTGCTTTTGGGCTGTCCAGTTATCGCTCCACCTGGAATAAACTGCTGTGGGGGGGCGGGGAACAGAAACAGTAACACTGTGTGTCAGTGGTTCATGAAACATCCTGATGTCTTTTAGCTTGAAATGTTTTTTGGATTGACCAATGAGAAGGAGCTTCAAACATCTGAGCTTACATCATACTATGTGTGTGGACTAAAAACTCCAATAATCAGACAGAAAATCAGTTAGAGGGAAGCGGCTGGTGCCACTGTCGCCCCCTACTGGTTGACCCAGGCATGCCATACCTCGTTACGTAGGTCTGTTTCTCCGCTTTCAGCCAATCTGACCCCCGTCCTGGTCACCCCATCGGTATCTGGTCAGCGGGCCCCAGAGCTCAGCCGGGTCCCTCCGGCTCTGTATCTCCTTCAGGCCCTCTCATAGGCGCCAGCCACCATTAATAACAGCCCAAACATCAACGGGCCACCTCTCCAGAGGCTGCCAGGCCCCTTCTGAGGGCCCCAGCCCAAAAGATGGAGGAGCCAACGGGCAGTAGGTGGCCCCCCCATAAAATTTCTTGATTATCAACATACTGTAGACAAGGGCTGCCTCCAAATAGCGAAGAAATATCCACAATTTTATTCAAAATATATGAAAAAATGACTTTGAAACTATCCTTTTCTTTTCAAGAAGCAAAAATATATCCTAACAACCAATAATTTAAGTGTGTATGTACAAAACCCACAGAACAACAGAGGTAACAGTCTCTGTGAGGCAAAGGCCGAACGGGGGGGCCTGAGGCTCAGTCGCTCGTGTATTCCTCTATCATCATATCCTCGTCCTCCAGGAGGACCTGGTTTGAAACGGGACGGGGCTGACTGGCCGGGAGACCGTCGGCTGCCCCCCCCCTGACCCACTTCCCCCTCCGCCTCGCCCTCCTCTTCCTCCCCGTCCTCTTCTTCCTGAGGGCCGGTGTCTTTGTCTGTCAGAGTCTCCAGTTTAAGCCTGCACACATCCCAAATACCAACAGAGAAATGAAGAAACCGGAGGGGGGGGGGAAACACATCTACATCAGAAACGTTGTAGGGTAAAAAAAAAAGTAAATATTGCACATTGTAGGGTACAATGTGCAATATTATAACAAAAACTATAATTTTGCAAACTTTAGGGGAAAATAATGTACATTTTGCATGTTTAATGGTAAAAAACAAAGTAAATTTAGCACATTTTGGGGGAAAAACTGTAAATATTGCACATTGTAAGGTGAAAAACTGTAAATATTGCAATTTCAATCAGACCATAAAAGTCTCAGGTCTACCACTACCATCTCAACTTGTCTTTCTGAGCTTCTCTCTATCTCCCCCTTTCTCCACTGACTCTGACTGGGGGTTTTCCTCCGGAGAGCAGATAGTCAGACTGATGAGAGCTGGAACATTGGGTCTACTTTGTGAGTCGTTTTGGATAAAAGCGTCTGAATGCGGACACATGAACAGAAGCATTGGAAGCTCGTGCACTTCTGGGCTGGTCTAGCTGTGTGCTCTTTAAACTGCTGAGGCTCTTGTTTACTGGTTCACTTTACCTGCCGGGGGGCCTCCTCAGTGACATCTGACCCACATCCTGGATGAAGCTTATCTGGGCTTTGAAACAAAAGTAAGGGCGGGTTAACATTCATCAGCCTGCATGGGAACACATCTTTCACAAGAAAAAACACAATCATTCATGATTCACACAAGACGCCATGAGAAGTCTGTCAAAGAAAGACTTTAAACGAAACAACGTGAGCCCCAGATAAAGTTGCATATTCATAGTACCGGATTTTCCACACTATAAGGCGCACCTTCAATGAATGGCCTATTTGAGTTTTTTTTCAGATATAAGGCGTATTGAATAGAAGCTCCTGTAGAGGCTGGGGCTGCGTTAGCATCCACCAGATGCAGCTGTGCTACAGAGAACGTCACCTAACCAGTCAGATAGTCAGTCAGACTTTATTAACAAACACAAACCAGCGTTCTGACGACTCCGTTCACTCCCAGAATCAACACAGCTGTTTGATTTTTTTCCCGCGCTAATGTCAGTGATGTGGTATTTAAAAACAACAATGTTTAATAGGTAGTGCAGCATTTTTATCAGGTAGTGGAGGAGAACCTTTCCATGATTCAGTAAACACGTAATAGAACCAGTCTGATACATTACTGTAAAATCAAACGTTAGCGTGAACACAATATATAGCAGCTAGCATAAAGTTGACCAGCTTTTCTCGTAAAAAACAAAACCGCCACTATAGAATTATTTGAACTACCTGTTGTCATATATAAGATCAGAGTTAAAGTTGACCTTTAATGTCCAATTTTTTTTAGCAGCCGCCTTTTCTTACTGCGTTGCCTTTTAAACTGGGAGCAGTACTGCGGGGTCTCCAGAAGGTGGCGCCTCTTCGCCCTAGGCTGCTTCTTCTACGGAGAAAATGAAGTCTGCGGCAACTTCCTGTAGCTGTGAGACCTGTTGGGGCTCAAACCCGATCCATGTATAAGGCGCACTGTCGGTTTTTGAGAATCTTGAAGGCTTTTAGGTGCCTTGTAGTGCGGAAAATCGGGTATTTGGGTACATCTGAACACGGTGATGCTTCAGGCCGGGTTCTCTGGGAGAGAGTTACCTTGACTCCTCAGGGGGTTGACGAGTTTGGCCAGATATGGCACAAGCTGAGTCTGTAGGCTGAGCGGCGTGAGGCAGAAGTCGGCGAACAGGGAGCGGGCGGCCAGGCAGTTGTCCCGGTGCTGTCGGGGACAGGTGGGCGTTATGGAAAGGTTCAACTGTAGAGTAAGATCTCAGACGGACTTGACTCGGTCACATGATCTACACCCATTTTCAAACCGCGGAACCGAGTGGGCTGGGCCGGCGTGCCGTACCTGTTTGCTGACCAGCAGCCAGCTGGGTTTGTGCAGCGGCCTGAAGCCAACAGACACCTGGTGGGAGTTGGAGTGAAGCAGCCCCCGGGTGGCCACCGAAGACCCGTAGTCACCCATGGTGCTGCGGCTCTAAAGGAAACACAGACGGGTCACGTCACCAGCTAGCGCCGCTTAGCTTTTCAGTTGAAATGAGACTTTTCAGAGTACGGTTAGCTGTTTAAATTGTTTGCAGACAGACTTGGTGGGCTTCTGTAAATAACTCAGAGTTCGGTCTGACCTAGGGATGTCCCGATCCAGCTTTTTTCACTTCTGATCTGATCCCGGCCTATCAGAGCATGTACTAAAGTTTAAAGTTATTTATCTACTTACTTAGTAGTCAGACTCATGTTGAACAGGGATTTACTCTGATAACAACTAGCAGCTGAATTAGGGGAGTCTGAATAATACACACTGGTTGGTAAAGAGACACTGACCTGTTTATTCAGGGAGAAACACAAAATAGACTAAATTATAAATAACAAATGGAAATGGCATCAGTGAACAGTAAAAAGTACAAATAATATTGTAAACTGTATTAAAAAAGGTAAAAAACACACAAACAACCTGAATAAAAAATAGTCTATTAACTCAGCATCAGTACTCTGTTTTAAATCCAGCTCTTGTGATCAAATGAAACACAGATCAGACTTTAAAGAAACTGGATCTGGAGTCTGGATCTGCATTTTCTCCTGCGGGCCGATACGCAGTTTTTTGCAAATACCGGCGGCCGATCCAATCAAAAATCGGATGGGGATAGGCCTGGTCTGACCAGCTGTGAGATGCCTGTTGTTGGGATTTGGCCTGTATTAATAAAACTGAACTGAACTTACCGACCACTCGGCGGTGAGGAGGTCGGCGTCGGACAGATACTCGCTGGCTCGGACCACGTCCTCCATCTCAGAGAAGAAGTCCAGGTAGTTCTGGTACAGGTACAGGTTGAACATGTCTCCTGACATGTGGGAACGCTCCACCACCAGCTGAAGGGAAAGATGGAGAAAACCACCGTCCAATCACTGTGTTTGAAAAACTAAAACTACATAAACTCAGGCAAAGCGCCGCCCTTTTCACCTCCGGGTTGATGAGCAGAGCTGACCGGTGGTGGCGCAGCAGGTGGTCGGGTAGGCCGGGGGCCGAGGCGTCCTCGGCCGCTTCAGCTCCACTGGGATGCTCCCCTGTCCACACAGCAGCGGGTCAGCAGAGGCCAGCGGCTGTGAGGGACTCCCCACAGGCAGACTGGCCGACAGCACGGGCAGTAAACTCATGCTGTGCTCGTATCCTTAGGCTTCTATCCAGCTACTGCACAAACTCTGAGAAGCTCACTAATGTTCCTGCTACCAGAGTGGTTGCTTTTGTTGCTTATCTGTTCTTTTCTCTTCCCTCTGTCCTTTTGCAGGAGCTCCTGTGGGTTCTCCCCCCAGATTGCCCACAAGGAACTGTTTCTATTTACAGACATGGACCGGGACAAGCCTACCCCTGACCACTCAGAGCCAGAGGTGGAGGGGAGTCGGGTCCTAGATACTCCTAACATGGCTTCAATAACACGATTCCCTCACCAGGGCCCAACAGAAACTCGAACCGGCTTGAATTCTATCCGAACAGACGCTATGGATCGGGAGGGGGTGACAGGTGAGACATGGAGCCGAAACTCCTGATCCAGAGTGGAAAAAATTGTGTAAAAAAGGGGGAGAAATCGCCCAGTGTACGCCCGGCTTTAGTCAAACAAACCGCGCTGGGCAAGTTACGATTTTCTGAGGGAACCATTCTTTTTTAGCTCCTTTAACAGGAAGAGCAATTGCAGTTTGGAAGCGGTAATAACAGAAAAACGAACAATATGAGAATGGGAAGCGGTGCAGAGTGGCTGTTCTAAGTGTATGGGAGGAAAGCTTCTGCACAGGGGCAGCTGGCCTTCAGGAGGAATAAGAGGATCCTTCAGGAGGAATCCTACCCGGTGGAGGCCGTGTGGGACATGTGGGACATGGGGAACTCACGTTTGCAGTGCAGGACCTTCCCCAGCGCCCTGAACAGGACCAGGGACACGTCCCTCCCTCCGACAGCCGGCAGATCCTCCTGCTCCTTCCCCCGCTTACACCTCTTCATCCTCTGGTTGGTCAGAGCGGGGGCCCTTCGGCCCTGTGGAGGAGCAGCTTTCTGCTTCGGCCACGGAGACTCTTTTTCCAGCGAAGGCTCTAAAAAACAAAAACAAAAACAAAAAAATCCAAAGCCAGTGATGAAACTCACAGAGCCACAGGCGATTTCTTGTCCTGTTCCCCACGGCCATAAGACAGGGTCAGTTTATTTTACAGCACAAGACAATTCAAAGTGCTTCACAGAGATTTTAAAAGCAGAAAAACAAGAAAAGAAAAAGAATCAACAGTTAAAAAAACAGATGGATAAAAAGTGAAGGGTGCAGAAAAAATACATTCAGTTTCAGAAGTGTTTTCATCTGGATTTAAACATCCAGAGTTAGGTTCTGTCTCACTTCTTCAGGAAGACTGTTCCAGATTTTAGGAGCCTGGAGCTGAAATGAAGCTTCACCTGGTTTGGTTCTGACTCTGGGCCCCAGCAGGAGACCAGAACCTGAGGTTCTCAGAGTCCAGCTGGTTCCTCTGGCTCTAACATGTCAGAAAGGTGTTTCGGTGCCCATGAGGAGACTTGTACACAAGCAGAGCTGTTCTAGAGTCTGTCCTCTGAGAGACAGGAGGCCAGAGCAGAGAGCTGAGCACAGATAAGTGTGTGTGTGAAAGACTTACCTGGGAGACAGAGAAACTGCAGGCTGTTGATGGCGCTGCGGACATCCCCAGAGCTCCCTGAACACAGCGATTCCAGGGCCGTCTGGTCGGGCCGGCTCATCCCTCTGCAGCTCTGCTGACAGATTACAGCCAATGAAACCCGGCTCTGAGCGGTGGGAACTCTTAAGGGGGGGTCAGCTGCGGGGCGGGCCTCACCCTTCCTGCCTCCTGGGCCAAAATGCTGTTCAGGACCTTCATCATTGTCGTCGGAGCCACCGGATTAAAGCTGAAAGCAAAACAGAGACCGATGATGGGAGTCCGGCTGAGAGAGAACGGACATAAGCGGAACATGGAGCAGGCCATTTTGGAACTTCGCTTTGAAACCTAAAATATGGAAAATAACATCTCCTAAATATTTGGCCAGAAGACGCACATGGTGTGTTTATATATTCTATTCTGTATGAGAACTTTATATTGGTTCTAAATGCTTATTAGCTAACACCATTTACATTGTTGTATACAGTTTTGACAGTGTTGGCTAGCAGAAGATTTGCGCCACCAGAAAATAATGAAAATAAATTCTAGCAAACCTCAGCCGGAACGTGGCTTTTATTTTGCCCCAGACGAGGAGCTGTGGGAGCGGTTATAAGGCAAAGTTGGGCCTGAATGAGTCAACTAAGACTTGGACTGTTTGGAAAGAGTCTCGGGGGCGAGGGCGTTTTCAGAGAGGCTGTAACAGGGCAGCAGTGTGTGTGTGCGTGTGTCTGAACCTGATGCAGGCGATGCCCAGCTCCTCCTGGAGCTCTCGGGGAAAGAGGGAGCGGAAGCTGCCGTTTCCACTGGGAGAGTCCGACACCACGAACAGCAGCGGGCAGCGGCTGCTCCTCACAAAGTGCCTGCAGGACACACACAGCAGCACAGCTCAGAGAACACACCCTCGTTTGTGAAGGGCCTACCAAACACAGAAAATGATTAAGAGCTGTGTCCAGACTAGGGATATCGTGATCTAGCTTTTTACATCCGATCCCGGCCTATCAGAGCATGTGCTAAAGTTTAAAGTTATTTATCTACTTCCTTAGTTGTCAGACTCATGTTGAACAGGGATTTACTCTGATAACAACTAGCAGCTGAATTAGGGGAGTCTGAATAATACACACTGGTTGGTAAAGAGACACCGACCTGTGTATTCAGGGAGAAACACAAAATAGACTAAATTATAAATAACGGAAATGGCATCAGTGAACAGTAAAAAGTGCAAATAATATTGTAAACTGTATTAAAAAGGTAAAAAACACAAACAAACTGAATAAAAGATAGTCTAACTTAGCATCAGTAATGGATTCTTTTAATCGGTGTGCTGGAAAACACGGATCAGACTTTTAAATAAAATCTAGATCTGCATTTTCTCCTGCCGGCCGAAATGCTTTTTTTTGTGCAAATATCGGCAGCCGATTGGATCCAGATAAAGGATCGGGACAGGCCTGGTCCTGACAGCGCCTCAACTCTTGCTGTTGTCTGTTAAAAGCTTCATTTTCTCCGGAGTCGTCAGCTCTTCCTTCGTCTATTCTTTGGGCCTTTTCCCTTAGAAAAGAAACTTTCCAAAGACGTCTGTTTTTTACTCATTTTTCTAACCTTTGGGTAAAATTTTGGGTGATCAAGTGACCGAGATGTAACCCACAGAATCCGGTCATTTTTCAAAATAAAAGATTTTACAAAATGTAGACTATTCAGACTTGGAGAATAAATACAACGTAAACAATTCATCATTCCTTGGAGTTGGGGACCACTGTCCTAGGTGGAAAAGCGAGGACAGCTGTGTGGTGTGAATGATCAGGTTCTCACCTCAGGATGGCGTGCAGGCTGCCAGGCTGCCGGTAGAACTGGTTCGGGAAATCCTGAAGAGCACAAGCAGGCACAATAAGGTAAAGAGGCTCGGCTCGGCTCAGGGCCCCCCCAGCCGAGGCCAAAATGGCTGCAGGGGGTCACAGTGAAGGGAAGTGAGGGAAGACAACCAGGGCCATTTTCCACCGGGGCCTACTGGGCACGGTGGGGGGGTTTTGGGGGGCATTTCCACGAGCTGTTTGCAGGGTTAGGGAGACCAAACGTCCTCTTTTGCCCGGACATGTCCACTTTACTTTTTACATCCTGTCCGGGGTGTCCGGGGGGGATTATAAATTCATGAAAATGTCAGTTTTCTCGAAGTTTAACCTGATACATATACTTTTAAAGTTGCTTTAACTATATAGTAAGTGAAGAACAGCAGACTAAATGTGGGACTGTCTTTATATTTCTATGTAAGTTTTAAAAATTGAAATAAAAGTTTAGAATAAATAAATAAATAAATAAAGTCCAGTCCCTTTGAAGTTTCCCGGTTTCTGGTTTTGAAGGGAAAACAGGTGCGGCTGTCCTCACCTCCACCAGCACCAGCTTCTTTTCCGTAGCTCCCGCGTCCCCCTTCATTTTCAGGCAGTTGTATTTGTGCGCTCTGAGGAGAAACTCCTGAAACTGGCCCAGCTGGGAGCTAAAGCCATTGGTCTTCCAGTCTGTGAAGAGAAGGAGAGTTAATGAGGCGTTGCAGTGACAGAATGCCGAGGGCCTCCCATCCTCATCCCAACCCTAACCCGTTTCCAGCTGGGAATGCTGTACGGATGGAGCCAGCAAGCTCACGTGTTTGTTTCCCATCAGCTCATCCCGGTTTGTTATTGCATTTCTTCACACCGGGTTTGTTTAGCTGCTCTTTAATAACTGTTTCGACTGCGTTTGGTGGTTATACAAATGTTTGTTTTTTAATGATTTGCTTTTAATGGTTTAATTTAAATTTGAATGTTTTTTATTGGTTTCATTCCAGTCAGACCTCTCCGTTCATATCTATCATATTGCTACATTTTTCACTAGCATATCGGCCCTGGTATGAGGGGTGCTGGGGCTTGTGAGGGGTGAGCTGGGCACCAAACAGTGCTTTCTGGTGCAAACCGTATGTTTGTGGGGCAGCAGTTAGGCTATCCAGACAGCTTGAACAAAGAAGGCCAGAGCACAAGGACCTTTTTTTGGATCTAGGGCCTAAAAAGTGGAACCTGACCGAGCAGATTGCACCTTTTGGACATAACTGTGGAGGCTGTGAGTCTTCCACTTACCGTGCTTTGTGCTGCTGAATGGCTCCGGGGCTGATGGGTTAGTCCACTCCTGAACCCGAACACCCAGCTCCGTGGAAAGGACCTGCACTGTGGCGGTCTTTCCACAGCCCGATGGTCCTGTCAGTATCAGAATGCCCCCCTACAGGAGAGGAATGAGCAGCTACACCTCAGTCTGAAGCTTCTCTTTCATTACAGATGGTAAGGCCAAGTTACTGGAATGGATAAATGACAAAAGCAGGAGGCTCCTTGAATTACCTTCGGTGTGTCTGTGTGAGCTCTGATCCAGTTCTCAACCTCTTCGATCTTCTTTTTGTGCACAGCCAGTTCAGCCTACAGAAAAACACATGCAAAGGCATCAGGAGACGCACAAGCAGGGACGGACTCCTTCAGTGTGTTTTCCTGGTTCAGCATGACAGTATAAGTCCCAGAAATGAAAACAAATAAGTGCCTTATTTCAGCTATTTGCACATAAAGCTGGTTCCATTTACCAATGACATAACACCTAAGCATAGATGGGACTGTTTGGCACTGATCTGTCTGGCTGTGAACAGCCACACAGACAATCTGGAGGATTTGAAAGGGAAGCTTTTGTGCCAGTAAGGTACCACTTCAGCATAAAAACGACTGGTGAGTCCTTGTTTAACGTGCTTAATGACAACCAGTCTGCAATATACAGTAGAACCTCTACTTACGATGCCTAAATATACGATATCTATGGGGAAAAAGTCGTGTTTGGTTGTAGTAGCATAACTAACTTATTTCACAATGACCTTAGTTAGTGACGTCTGTGGATTTTTAAAGCAGCGACTTTGGAGAAACTCAATGTTCTGTGAGGTGACAGCGTTGTGTGTAATGTACCCATCTCAGCGTCATCACAGTAAGTTCGGGCTGACCTGTGTACGGGGCGAGTATCTTTCCACCCAGGGCTCATCCTGGTCGTCTGGCAGCAGCTGGCCACTGCCCACCTCCAATCCCTTCTTTTTCTGCCTCTTCTGTTCAGGTCTGGAGCCCAAAGATTGGCTGGCCTTTCTGCGTCCAGGCGCGGAAAAGCTTTTCTCTGGCAGATCTGAGAAGGATGGATCCACCCAGTGCTTGACCTGTCATAAACCCAGAAGAAGCAGGGGTGAAAAAGATGTAGTCCTGCTATCCGCAGTGACCAGTTTGGCCTGGGTTTTCTGTCACTTGGAGACGTTATGGGGGTGGAGAAAACTCCTCAGGTTGGAGATTTGTGGAAGTGGGATTTTAAGCACAGCTTACTCTGCCCGGAGCGGCCGCATCCCTCAGCGGAACCTTGCTCATCGTGGACTGTGTTTCCTGCCGGACAGCCCTCGGTGCTGGTGGAGCGGAGCTTAAAAACAGGACAAATAACAGTCAATAAATGGCTGAAAAGTCACAAGAAAAACAGCCCAAACTTCTGTCTGCAGTGCAACGCCAGCTCTGTGGCGTTCTTGTCTAACGGAAAGAAGTCGCAGTGGTTTGTCCAACTTTCCCAATTCGCCTTACCTCGCCAAACCATTTGAGGTCAAATACAGAGTCCAGCTTCCGCTCGCTAGCGACCCTCCTTCGATTAAAGGGACGACTTGGGTTTTTGTGACTCAAAAGAGAATGAAGGCATCAACCAGGAGAAGTGACGAAGCGGCACAGCTAAGGAAAAACGTCAGGCGGAGCGCGTGCAACAAACAAACTGGCTGACGTAAAAACGACGTAGAGCAGCAGTTTACGGCAGCCCCCTCGCGACGGACGGTCGTTTCCCAGCATACGGCTCTCGCGGAGTTCTGCTCTTCGTTCGGCCCGGTTCTTGTTCCGGTTTCGTGCCTTGTCGTCGTAGGTAAAGACTTTAAAAGTAAACGGGGGTGGAAGGATGTGACGGAATAACTGGACGGTTCCCTCTTTCAGGTCGGCATCTGGCACCTGGTATTTGGCACCTGGCACGCGCGCGTTGGCAGCACGTCCTCGGCACGTGACGATGGCGAGGAGACCCAACATCCTGCTCACAGGTGCTGTCCTGGAGGTGGCCGGACTCAGACGTGGCCACGGTCCATTCCGGCTGGCCCTGGCCGGGGCAGACGGAGATGGGCGCGTGGCCGCTGGGGGCCACGTGCTCTGACCGCCGGTGTTTTTCGTCCCGTCCGCAGGGACCCCTGGCGTTGGGAAAACAACCCTGGGGAAGGAGCTGGCCCAGAGGAGCGGCCTGACCTATGTCAACATCGGAGACCTGGCCCAGGAAGGTGAGCCTCCCCCCCTCCCCCCTCTGGGGCCAACTCCCAGCCCGACCACCACCTGTTAGTAGTTGTTTTTTATTTTGTTACTGGCTTCGTTTTCCAGGGATGCTTCTCACGTGCTGAACTCATTCTTATTTTTTCCTAACACATTTGGACTTATTGCTCTTTTTCTTGGCCTCTCATAATTGATCCGTAGCTCCCTTTTTTCTCCATTTGCTGTCTGGAAGGTGGCGTATGAATAAAGTTGAGAATTAGAGATTTTTCCCTGAAAGCACTTGACTCTGTGGGCCCATTCTCATCACCTGAGGGGCGCGGGCTCGTTGCCATGGCAGCAGCCATGCCAGCTGAATTCCCCCTCATTTAGTTGGGATAATGACGACCTTAAAAGCTGTGTCACTGATGTCTGTCCTCAGGGCAGCTGTACGACGGCTATGATGAGGAGTACCAGTGTCCTATTTTGGATGAGGACAGGGTGAGTCCACACACACACACACACACACACACACACACAGAACGGGCGCTGCCTGAATAAAGGACCTCATCAATGCTGAGGCAGCAGGGGTCACAGGTCATCCTTTGGTGGAGGTAGATGGTTATTAGGGGGGCCACTGCTATTGCTATTGTAAATACGTTTTATTTGGGGGGGGCACTGCCAGAGGCACTGGATCGGCCCCCGACCCTCATGATGCTCACGGTTTGAGAATTTTTCAGATATCTCTTATAGTTTTCGAACTGCGGGCAGGAGTTCGGGGTGGAGTTTTGATTGAAACTGAGCTGGAACTCTGCTACCCAGAATGCTTTGCTCCTCAATCCAGGAAGTGGAGTACAGGTCCATATCTCCTGTAATGGAAGTGATAACGACGCGTGGAACGCCCCATTCATCACTAATTGACCTCATTGATCATCAGTGGTTAGTCACGAGGCACGTGCGCACCCGTGCACGCGCGCCATTCAGCTGAAAACCGAGTTAAAAGTCAGACAGAGGCAGAGCTCCCTATAAACCCAGCCGATTTTCGGCGCTTAACTTGTCGTGCACGGTTCGACGGGTCCGGCCCAAAATCGGCACGACCCGACCACGGGACGCATGCGTGTATGTTTCTCTCTCATTGGTCCAGGCGTTTTCCAATAAACAGCGAAAAAGGCGAAACGCCGTGCCATAGGAAATGAATAGGAAGGCCAAAAGCGGGCCCAAAATGCTCATCCCGGGTCACAAAAGACGGGCCTCCGCCATATTGTAGCCACCGTTTGGGGTTCCTAGGGTGGGCCGTAGGTGCCCCCCCCCTTCAGAATGTCTTTAGAAATGTTGCAGTTGTGATTAGAAAGCGTTTGTCCTCCGGGGGTCCTGCAGGTGGTGGACGAGCTGGAGGAGAAGATGGAGGAAGGGGGCGTGATCGTTGACTACCACGGCTGCGACCTGTTCCCCGAGCGCTGGTTCCACATCGTCTTCGTGCTCCGGACAGACAACACTCAGCTCTACACCCGGCTAGAGGGCAGGTGAGCAACACCCCCACCCCCACCTCCACCCCCACCCAAGGCTGATCCAGGGAAGGCTGAGCAAAGCTCCCACTGAGCAGAGCTGTCCTCTTGTGTCCGTCCGGCAGGGGCTACACGGGGAAGAAGCTGCAGGACAACGTGCAGTGCGAGATCTTCCAGACCATCTACGAGGAGGCCATGGAGGCCTACCGGGAGGAGATCGTCCACCAGTTGCCCAGCAACACCCCGGAGGACCTGGAGCAGAACCTGGAGCAGATCTCCTCCTGGACGGAGCGCTGGATGAAGGAGCACAACTAGGAGCAGAGCCGCCTCCCGGACAGACTCCCTCCTTTCTGTGAGGCGGGTGGGGGCAGGAAGACGAAGTCCTGCCCCCCCCCCCAGCGGCAGCTCCACGACCGCCTGGGTCCTCCGAGCGGCCCCCAGCGGGAAAGTGGACACACGTCCCCACCGAGGAGCCAATGAGGAGAGTCTGGAGATACGTCTCTGTCAGACTCCCACCGTATTGGCTCAAAGCTCATGAACTCATTTCAGGGGCACCGGGGGGGTTTATTTTGTTACGTTTTTTTTTCCATTTTTCTTTGCATCAGCCTGTTGATAACCAAACTAAACCTATTAAAAAGATTCCTGATCACAATTGAGGGAGAACTGTGTGGACTGATTGGACGCTGTGTGGAAGGGGATGGCTTCGGATCCCTGGATGGGAAAAATGGTTTCCCGGCCGGGTGTGTTTGTGTCGGACTGCCCCTAAAACGCCAAGACCAGCCTGGACAGGGAAGATTAGCCGGGACAGAGAGCTGACCAGTGGTTGGCCAGCTGGACCCTGGAGCTGATTGGCTCACCGTCCTGGCCCTGTTTGTTTTTTTCTGGTGGTTGACTAACAGAGCATGGGAATACCGGCAGCCAGGGTCTGACTGGGTAATCATTTCCAGAGAGCTGCGGACACAGTGTACTAAAGAGGCAAAGCTAGGGGCTGAACCTGGGGGGGGGGTTATATAACAGGTGGCTAATGAGCAGGAACTGGACAATGCTTCATCCTCAGTCCTGTGGGGGGTAACGGTCTTTGGATCACAATCCCCTAAAAACGTTTTTCTTTTATCTTTTATGTATCAAAAACACAAAAATGATTTATCCTAATCAAACAACAAACAAATACATAGATCAAGTCACAGAGATATTGACCAATCATCTCACCAGGAGAACTCAAGTTCATATTACAAACGGAACAGCAATCCACACACACCTTCAACCCCCCCTACACACACACACTTCCGCCAAGTCCTGCTCCACGTGCCCCCCTTCTTCTGCTTGTACAACACAAAGCCGCGCGTGGGAGGCTGTGGGCGTGTCGCTCCGCCACGTCACGCCCTCCCCGGCAGAGAGGGGGGGGAGGAGGGGGAGGAGAGAGGGGGGGGTGAGTCAGAGCGGGTCCTGCCCGGCGGACCAGCGGCTCTGGACGGAAGCTCCGCTCCTCTGTGGCCGCCGCCGGACACCCGAGGAGCCGCGCGCGCCCCTCCACGGGTGAGTGGAGCCTTTACTCGACGGCGCGCGCAGGTGGAGCTGCTGGTTAGGAAGGGGAGAGGGTGGGGGGGCACGCGCGGGTCCCAGGGGTCGCCCGGAGAGGACCCCCCCCCCCCCCCCGACGCCGGCCCCCCCCCCCCGGAGGGGACAGTGTTGGGGTTAGGGCTCCTAAAGCCGACATGGCCGTCCACCAATAGTAATCCCGTTTCTCGTGACGGGAGCGCGCGCGGAAGCCGGTCCCAGCCGCGGGAGCGCGCACGCACGGACTCACTCACGGCAGCGCCTCCAAACGACTCACTCCTTCCATTTAATTCACAATTACTGACTATTAAGAACTATTATTTTCCTGTTTCTCTTTTTTATTCTTCTTTATTCCTGACCTTATTCTGCCTTTAACTACGTCCACATTTTTAAGCCAATTTAAACAAATAAGGTCTCAAAACCTAATATGCCTTTGTTTTACTTATGGAGCATGTAACAAAATAATTTCCCTGTGGGATTATTAAAGTATTTCTGATTCTGATTCTGATTCTGAAAACCTTTGGCTTCTTCCAAACACGGGTGCCATGCCTTTTAGTGTTGAAATCTTTTAAACTTTTTAAATTATTAAACTTTTCCTGCCCTTTTCCCCCCTCTCATTGAAATGAATGGAGTCAGAGGTCTGGCTCCACCTGCTGGCATCAGGCCTTCTTCTCCCGGCTGTTTCCCAGGACCGGCCGGAGATGTTTAAACGTCTGACCCCGGCCCCAGAGCTCACCCGTCTCCATCCGTCCACCGCAGGACACGGCAAACATGCCGCAGCCCCGCCTGATGCTGGTGGTCACCGGGGACGACTTTGGCTACTGCCCCCGGAGGAACCGGGGCATCGTGGAGTGCTTTCTGGCCGGAGGCGTCTCCAGCGTGTCCCTGCTGGTCAACGCCGCCGCCGCCAAGGAGGCCGCACACCTGGCTAAAAGGTAAGCAAGAGTTAGGATCACAACACACAGTTTAACACACTCACTGCCCGGCAAACATGGAGCAGAGAGAGGCTGGAGTTCTTCCCCACAACTTTCAACTGACCTAAACAATCTGCAATCATACTTCACCTATTTAGAAGTGAACCTTTTAAAAGCTCCAGGTTGTTTTTCACTCGAAAAACTGTTTGGTAGTTTATTAATTTATTTTATTTAATGTATTAATTATGAAATAACTAAACTACCGACACACACACTCGGAAAAATGTAAAAACATTTCAAATGCCGGTAAATGATTAAATCACTGACCAGTTAATTGAAATCGTCCATTTATTTGTATGGCAGCTGTATTACCGGCCCCCAGTCGTCCTAATAACCTCACCAGTTATACGGCTTCATCAGATACCATCAACAATCAAACGTTTAACTTCCAAACCAAGAGAAGTGCCTCCGAAAAACATTAGGGACGTTTAGCAATCTATTGAAATTGGTTGGAAATGAGGATACAAAGCCCAGAACGAATTCCAGCCTCCCACCTTTCTCTTTTGTATAATGTGTCATTTGAGTCCATAGATGAAAAATGGAACATTTCCTTAATATTACTCTACCAGTATTGGAGTGTATTAGTGCTCCCTTAGAGGTCGATCTGACTTTTTCCAGTCTTTGCTGCTCTAACAGAATATTTAATCTGATGTAAACACATTTCTCCTTAGATGAGTCAAATAGTGAAACAAATGTAAGCAAATGCTATCAGGAAACGGTAAGCTGGAAGCGAGTTATGAGGAAAGGTTAGCTGTGTAAGTCCAAACTGATGAGTAGAACTCAGGATAAGAATCAGGAGGACAACACACACCAGGAATTTGAATATGCAGATTTAAATGTGTTCTAGTAACGCAATAACTGCTCTTTGTTCCACAACCAGACACAAAATCCCCATCGGCCTGCACGCTAACCTGTCAGAGGGCTCTCCGGTGTGTGGAAGCCTCCAGAAAGTCTCCACCCTCCTCAACCCCCGGGGCTTTTTCCACGGAAAAATGGGCTTCCGCCTGGCCCTGGAGAGAGGCCAGCTCGATATGAAACAGGTACAAGCCCACACAGCGGGGGGTTTCCCACTGGTCAGAGTCAGAGGTGCCATGGCAACGATGGACACCGAATAAACGAGCCGTAAAATAACCTGCATAAATTTTTTCAAATTCTGTCTGAAGTTATTTCTGCTCATTCTAAGTTTCAAGAGCTCAGGCAGTGTGGGATAACAAATGAAACAAATGGGAAGGAACCAAGAATAAATCCCAAAAAATCCCTTTATTAGACAAGACGGATCTTCTCTCATCATTGAGAAACTGTGTCTCACTCATTTAAAGAATTTTCCATAACAATGAGGTGAAACCTGTTTTCTGGAGAACCAATGGTGGCCCCCACGCGACTGAAGATGAAAAGCGGGTTTTATGGTTGGGGTCAGTGTAAAGGGCAAGTTAATGATGTCACCACAGTAGAAAGAAAAAAAGAAACCCACCTCTTAGTCCCGTGGGAGGAGTGGAGCTGTGGCTGGATGGGGGGTGAGAGTTGGAGGCCGACTGGTCCTTTTTCCCCTCATCTCTGCGTTTGTGTTTGTGCCCGGTGAGCAGGTGGAGCTGGAGCTGAGGGCTCAGGTCCAGCAGTTTGTGGAGCTGACCGGTCACCTGCCTCACCACATGGACGGACACCAGCACGTTCACGTGCTGCCAGGTAAGGAGCAGTGCCCCCCGTGCCCCCACATGCGTGATACAGCCCACGTAGAGCAAAACAACCACCACCAGAATACAAACAAAAACCTGGAGTGACCCAAACATCAATAAAAGTATTTATTTACTGTCTGTCTGAACCAAGGAGCCGCAGTAGTGTTTAAGTCATGGCGATTTGGAGGTTTTTTATGTAGAGATGGTGGTTAGAATGCTTAAACCAAGGGTGACCATATTTTGATTTCCAAAAAGGAGGACGCTTTGCCTCCAGACGGATTCAGATTCTTCTCAGATGTTCATGAAAATGCTTTATTATACCTCAATGGTACCAAAATAAAAATAACTTCGGTAGTAAAACACAATCTGTAACAACCAGTAACTAAAATGATAGCCCTCCTTTAAAATACACCAATAACATCAAATGTTCTAAATATCTTCTGTATGTTCTAAAATCTTCTGTTAGAAAATACAGCTTCAACAAAATATCTCTTAATACCGTCTTGATGTAGTAAATGAAACAGTCTCACACAAACTCAACAAACAAAAAGGATCTATACTAAGTAGAAATCCTTTTTGTATTTATACATCAAGTAGAGATCCTGTTTGTCCCATTACAAACTACAGGGACGCTACGTGGGAATTTTTTTTTGCAGTTCATCTGTGAAGCTGCACTTTGGTTTGGGCATTTTGTCTCCACTGCTAGTTGCTCAGCTCCATGTGAGTGTGTGTGTGTGTGTGTGTGTGTGTGTGTGTGTTGGGGGTGAGCTTCTCATTCTCCAATCCATGTCATCTCTTTACCGATCTTCCCTCATCTGCTTTTTTATCTCAGTATTTCAGCCATGAAGATGTATTGAGATTTCTGGATGTGTATTCATTCGTTGCTGGCCATAAGAACGTGTGGATAACTGGTGATTTTTGTCATCTGTGTGATTTTTTTCCCCCCAGAGGTGCGTGAGGTGTTTGCACACGTCCTCTCAGACCTCAGGATCCTGTATACTCGAGTTCCAGTGGAGCCCGGTTTGCAGAGCTGCCCCTGGCTGCCAGCAGAGCTCCAGAGGTTCTACTCGCAGGTGGGGAAGGACGCCCTGGACTCCGTTCCAGTTTTTAAACACTACGGAATCAGGTATGTGTGTGTGTGTGTGTGTGTGTGTGTGTGTGTTGGATGGTTTAGCTCCAAAAACATGCCATGTAAAATCGAGACTAGGTCAATCCATGACGTAGTGATTACCATAATTTCTGCATTATAAGTAGAAGCGCCTCTAGGAGCCTCGGCTGGATATCCAACTCCTCCCACATCCAAGTCAGCCATTTTGATTAGGTCATGTGACTAGCAGCTTTCTCAGGTGTAAATGAAACTTTACTGTCTATATGAAATCAGAAGACAAACGATGTCCTAACCCTAAACCTAACCCTGACCCTGACCCTAACCCTAACCCTCCACCCTTCATAATTGTGACAAATAAATATTTTTTGGTTAAACTTGTTTGGACTTATTGTACAAACCTATTTAACATCCACTATTTTAACATAATGTTATGCATAGAGTTTAATTTAGTGTTTGCAAGATTAATTTCACTATTTTTAAATTAATGTCTATATTACCATGAAGCAATTAGGATTTTCTTACCTGGGATCTTACTGTTGGTGACCTAATCAAAATGGCCGACCTGGATGTGGGGGAGTTGGATATCCATCCATGGCTTCCTGCAGTCTGCACCCAGACGGATTTGGAAAATAGGGTCCCTTTGTGCTGTCCACAGGTGGCCAGATGTGTACCTGGGCCTGACCACCATGGGCCAGAACATGACCGTCCCCAGGCTGCAGAGGGCCCTGGAGCTCGGCCTGGGGGCGGGGCCTGGGGAGGCTCCCCGGGGGGGCGGCGCGGGCCCGGGGGGGCCGGTGGCCACGGCCGAGCTCATGGTCCATCCGGGGTACCCCAGCCAGCCCGGGGAGGGCGGGTGTGGGGAGGGCCCCGACCAGTTCTCCCAGTCGGCCGACAGGCAGCACGAGATGGGGGTGCTCAGTGACCCCGCCCTGCTGGACTTCTACCGCCAGCACAGCGTCCAGCTCTGTGGGTTCAGAGACCTCTGACCACTGCCGTCCTTTACACTTTATACTAATCAGGATATTTTCCACTGGGTCCTAGCTGATCCAACATAAAAACACCCTCCATTGTGTTAATTTTTTAAATATTATTTTTTATATTTTTTCAAAAATTTTGTTGTTTTTATTGTGAAAAAGAAAAAGGCAGCGGGGGGGGGGGGGGGGGGGGGGGGTCAGGAGGGCATGGCCGATGCCCTTTGGCACTTTTACAGTCCATTTTTATCTTCACTAAAATTTCTTAAACTGACTACTTCTTCTGGTGAGTCATAAATATTTTTGTGTATAATTACTATGTTGATTTTCAAGAAACTCAATAAACTTGAACCATTGCATCAAACTCATTGACATAACTTTTTTTTTATAGATTATGTTGTGAGATTATTTATGCTGTATGCTCAGACAGAACCTAACTGACGATGTTTAAATCCAGGCTGAAAACGCTTCTCTTTAACTGTGCACATGGAAACTGGATGGATTTAATCTGCACCCTTTACTTTTTATCCGTCTAATTTTTACAATTTTTCTGCTATAAAATTTTCTGTAAAGCACCAAATGTGCTGTGAAATAAACTTGCCTTGCCTTAGCTTTCCCTCTTTCAGGACTGAGGGAGCAGCTTGGTTGGATGCCGTCCGTCTGAAGTCCTGCAGAGTTAGCATCACCTCCTCTACAGCCGGCCGTACACTGGGCCATTTCTGCCCCTTTTTGACACGATTTTCCACTCGTGGGGGAACTTCTTGGATGAGGAGTTCCAGCTCCCTGGTGGCGTACACACAGGGTGAGGAGCAGCCATTAACCTGTCTCCACCTCCAGATCCACAGCGTCTGGTCGGAGGGAAACCAACCCGGTCTGGGTTTCTGGTGGGCCCTGGTGAGGGAACCGTGTTATTGAGGCCATGTTAGGATCAAACTCCCCTCCAGCTCTGGCTCTGTGCTAACACAGGGGAAGGGACTCTGAGGATAGGGCAGCTGGAATCAAACAATGGAAGCACAACCAGCATTATCATGACCCAAATATAAGGGAGAAAAGTTTGGGGGAGATTGCTGCACAATATTAATAATAATATTCACAATACGCCGTCTTCAGTTCTTTTTAAAGCTTTCGGCACACAAAATTGGCAGCTTTTAGCTCTGGTGACCCTCATGTTCTTCGACTTTGTCTTCAAGTCCACCATGCATTTTTGTGAGCGGTCAGATCTCATATCGGGTCATTTAGTGTGAGAGCAGAAATCGTGAGCTGTGACCTTTGAACCCTACGACGTGGTGGTGCAGCTGGAGCTACGAGCAAAGATTGGAAATATTTCAGAGTGTATGCCTGGCAAACTAGACATCTCTTTACCTGCTCTGCTCTCCTAACGGCCGCCGTCCGCTCCTGATGTGGGAAATCTACCTGCCAACATCTGGCGCTTCCTGCCGGCCAGAGGCCGTTTCCCCACACCTAGAGAAACACACTGCTAAAGGACCCCCGACCGGATCCTCCGCTTTGCTACGGGCGCCTTCGACTGACCATCAAATGACCCCTACTGGAAGACAAGCCCGCAGGCCGGCGGCCAGAATAACGCAAGACAAATGAGGCAGAAAAAGCATTCTTTTATCTTTCAGACATACTCGACAACCAAGGTCTACGTACTGACCTCCAGACGAAGCCTTTTCCTTTGTGTTATGAGGACTGAAATGTTGTGAGTGGTCAAACTAAAGGTCAGCGGCGGGTCAGCGGCGCCGCTCTCCGGTCAGCGGCGCCTCTTTAGTCAGAGCTTTGGTCCCGTTTCACAGCCACACACCAAATGCACTCCACCAGGGACACGCCAGGCCAAAGGTTTAGGCAACTTTATTACGAAACAATAGTGGGACCGGATCAGAAAGCTGTTACAGGCTGGCCGCCGCTGGCCGCTGCAGTCCCTCCCCGTGTCCGCGTCCGTCCTCAGACAGCTCGGCTCGGCGGCTGACTCCAGGAGCTGGGCTTCGTTCTCCGGCTCCCCCTCCTTCTGCGAGATGGGCGGCTCTAGCTCTGCTCTAGGGCCCGGGCTGTGGACATTTAGCTGGCGTGGAACTTTTTCCAAATCGATCCACGTTCTTCATCAAGTGCCAATCGAAACTCTTTTCGGCTGAGAAAGCAAACGATTAGGGAAAGAAAAAAAGGCTCAGCGTTTGGAGCGGGACGGACGGGTGTGCGCTGCCATCACTCGTCTAAAAAAAGTGTGGGGGTGGGGGGTGCTGGGTGCTGCTATCTGTGGTCTGGGTGTGGAGTGTTGGGGGGAACCAGGCTGCTAACAGGGCAGCGCTAAAGGCTGATGCAGGAGGGGGGACACACGTTTCACGCCCCCCAGGTCCCAGCTGCAGCCTCTCTTCTGACAAATGACTGAATATATGGTGGGACAAGACTATTTTTAAAAAAAAAGCAGACTGCTCCTTTTGCTTATCAAAAGAAGGACAGAGGTCTACGGGAGAGCTACGGTTGAACAGAGAACGAGCCGGCAGAAAAGTCGTACATTAATCTGAATATTTCCGTCTAACCGAATGTGAGCGCGGTGTTCCCTTCGCATTTCTTTTCCATTTTTCACCTTAAGAAAGAGTAGAAAGTTAGAAATGACCAGGAGATTTGTGGCTGAGGAGGAGGAGGAGGAGGAGGAGGAAGAGGCTGCCTGATCCACACAGAGTCCTGGAAGGTGAGCAAGGCTTTGGCTGTCGCAGCTTGCCATCCGCTGGGAGCTCCAGGGCTGCAGGGACAAGCGGTGTGGGGAGCAGGGGGAGGGGGGGTGGGGGGGGGGGGGGAGGGAGGAGGGAGGTGGAGCGGAGGAGAGAGAAGGTTTGGAAGTTGGTCGGACAGGAGAAAAGAGGAGGGGGAGGACAGAGAGGGCTATGAGCTCGTGGTGGGATCAGTCCATTGGCCGCTTTTCTCCGTGTTTCTTTGTAAACTCTTCGGCGTTCTTCAAGAATTTTTTACGGTCCTTTGAGTATTCTTCAGCTAAGTCTGCCCTCAGGGGGTGCTCGGGCTGAGGGTCGTTCACCAGCGCAATGAGGGACTGAATAACTGCAAGACAAACAGAGCCAGAAGGTCAGGCTGGATGGAGGGGCGCCCCCCCCACCCATCCGGGATCAAGGAGCCAAACAGGTAGAACGAGGCGGGAGGGGGTTAACAGAAACCAACAGGGAACCAAGTTCAAACAAGACTCGCGGATGTGGTGCTAGTTAAACGGAACTGCTTCAGGTTTGACAGGCACAGACCTGAGCAGGTTCAAAGCTATGCACAGTGTTATATAAACTTTCAAATTAATGCTCAGTAAACCACAGTGTTTTAAAGAATGGCTGGACTTTCTGCTAATAAATTCACCCAAACTTGAATTATTTCTTTGGAAACCCGACTCTGAGATGAATTGGTTCTTTAGTTCTGCCTTCTGTCCCTTCGTAAAGTTCCAAAATGAGCAGCGTCCCGTCTCAGAGGACCAGCAGAGCTGCGCTGAACTTCTGTCTGTTGTGATGCCTGGGCAGCCTGGAGAGGACGTCTGAGCCCCTCAACCGTATGAGGCAAATATAGGGAACCACCGGGAGCGTGTGGGAAAGACTGCTGTCGAGTCACTATTCCAAAACAGCTCCGGAAAACTTCCGTTCCGAGCATAAAGTCTAAGAAATTCAAGATTTAGGATGCTGCTTTTGTTCAGCTGTGACCACAGCCGGGTGGCGCCAGAGATCTTTGGATTCAGTGCAGCCAGATTTAGGGCACTGGTGTATTTGGGGTCAGTCAAAATGCTAACAGATCAGTTTCCTGTCAGACCGTGGCTGGTTATGGCAAACCCTGGCTGGGACAAAAACCATCAGCTTTGGGGTGGAACCATCCCTCTCTGGAATGATCTACTTCAACTTAATTTGTCCAAATCTCCTGCCTGTTACCAGAGAACAGTAGTCTATCTGGAAGACGGAGGCTTTGGATACGTCTATCAACCTTAACTGGATGTAGGATCATGCTGAGGCTGGAAACCAGCTAGCATCTGCTGTTTTAAGGAATGAACAGAGCTGATGACTTAAATGGGCTCATGTGAGAGGGGAGCCTGTTCACTCAGGTTTGGGGGGATTTTTTAATAATACAGAAGACATGACTGGATAAATGTGATACTCCTGTACCAACCTGATCTGCTCAGAGGTCTAGGTTTGATATGTGGTAGAACGTAGGCACTTTGTTTGGCTTTGGTTTTGTTTTTCTTTTTTGTTGTTATTTACTTCCATTCTATTTTGGTTTGTGGTTATTTTATAAATTCAGAAGGGACAGAAAACTGATGTACATTTACAATTTGATGGATTTCATTGATTGATCTGTCTGTCAAAAACCCTAAAAGACTAAGGGAGGAGAAACCTCTTCACCTGTGACCCCCCAGACTCCCAGTGAGACGCAGCATGGCCCACAGAGGGGCGGCTGAGCACCACCCACCTTGGTCAGTTTTGGTGGCAGGCTTCCAGTTCTCTGCGCTGATCACAGGCAAGCACACCTGGCCCTTCTCATCGATGTTGGGGTGATAGATCTTTGTTTTGAATGTGATTTTGGGAGGCTTGAAGGGGTACTCGGTTGGGAAAATGATTTCGATCCTGAACGCTCCTTTGTCGTAGGGCGGGTTGTCCTGAAAGGCAGCAGAAGAGGGTGTTGAATGAGAACATGGGCTCACGGGGGGGGGCAGAGCAGGAAACAGGAGCGGCTACTTACTGGAACAATGAGCCCTTGCCATGACAACAGGTTTGACTCCTCAACTTGAATGTTTCTGAAGTTTTTCATTCCAGACCTGCGAATCTCTTCGAGCTCCTGACACACACACAGAAAGCAGAACGTTAGCACAAGCATCCCCGTCCATCAGTGCGAGGTGGCAGGGAAATACATTCAGCCCCAGTTTTTTATCTGCCACCAGTGCTGTGATTCTAGGCTGGTCCCGATCCCATATTTGGATCGCACCGGCCGCGGATATTTCCAAAAAACTGCCTATCGGCCGTTGGGAGAAAATGCCGATCCAGACTCCTGATCCTTTTTTTAGTTTTTTTATGTCTGTTACCATACCGTTAGCACACCCTTAAGCATTAGCATCTCCTGACCCACAGGTCCGTTCCTGACCATTAAGACGGCCATGTTCATTTTAAGCTGTCGGTAAAAATGTCAGCTGTATGGGATTATTTGATCCTAAGAGCTGGATGTAAAACAGAGTACTGATGCTGAGTTAATAGACTATTTTCTATTCAGGTCGTTTGTGTGTTTTGCCTTTAAAATACAGTTTACAACATTATTTGCACTTTTTACTTTTCACTGATGCCATTTCCGTTTGTTATTTATAAGTTTCCTGGAAAAAGGTAGGACGCAGCTCAAGTCATCAGGATGAGGCAGAGGTTTGAGGAAGTTGTTCATAAGATTATACAACGGAGAATGGTGATGTCATTTTCCCCGATTGAAACAGAGCATTTGTATGGTCACCATCTTTCAGTATCACTTTCATTATTTCAGTAAAAGTGCCGATCCTACTGGTAAAATATTACTCCAGTAAAAATAAATTAGCTCTGTCAATTTTTTACCCGAGTTAAAGTACTCGAGTATCTGCTTTCAAAAGTACTTAAGTATTAGAAAATCTGTAAAATGTTCTTTTATCTGAAAAACACAAAGAGGAGAAAACCTAAGACATCATACATCGATTGATAAAACATTTCCATTGTTTAAAAATGAATTCATTAAAAGGTGTCTTTTTTTTAGACGCAGGGCAAACCTGAAAGAACCACAACAACAGCACAACTGGCATTTTTCCACGGGCACCTCTCCGCCCAGCTGGGTGGTTTCCCTTTACAGATCAGGGCCGGCCGGTTTGGGACCAGGAGCAAAAAACAACAGCCAGCCCAGCCAGTAAAAGCCTCCAAACCCAGCTGTCGGTTGGCTATCAGGCTTTTATGTTTAATCACGTGACTTCCTGACCGATGTGCGCCCGGCAGTGAACACTAAGATATGACCTGGTCAAAACCGAGGGCTCCACGGTGTCCAACGCGCTGACCTTTTCCACACCGAGACCTCCTGACTTTTGGCCCAACCTAACATCCAAAGCACTAGTCTCTCACCTGAGAGAAAACCCCACAGCAGGCCCAACACGCTGAGAGGATTAGCAATCAAATTACTAAGGCCTGGAGGGAAAGGAAAGTTACTTTAGTTTAAACCTTCCCCCTGATGTCTCCATTTTCAGGACCAAAGTGGTGTTCCCCTCACATCCGAGCTGCAGTGATTTACTTACAACACATCCTATAATACCCACTGCACATTTACCTAAACTTTCATTTCAGTTTCTTATGGTGCATTTGTTCAAAGATCTCTACAGAATGGACATCGAGTAGGGAGTTTCCTCATTTTTCTGATGAGTTTTCTTTCCTTTCTTTTAAAACAAACTGGCCATCAGACTTGCTCCCCATCTGTGGACAGACAGCATTTGGAACAAAAGCTCCTGCTTGTCCTTCATACATCTTACAACACATAAATGATGCAGAATATGCTCCTACAAATAGGGTTTAGTCCACAGTATCTGAAGCTTTTCTACAGAATATACATAGAAAAGTGTCAACATCACGATATTAAGATGTCATCTAATTTAAACCCAGCTTCATATTCTAAATCAAACAGACAAACAGTACACAGTATCCTCTCATTACACGTTTGTCTGGAACTGGGTCGGTCTGGTCAAAAGCAAACTTCTTCCAGGCTAGTGGCTGTGAAATCATCATGAGACAGAACATGGCTGCATGTTCCCTCCATGTGAGGAGACCGCTGGGAGTCAGGAGACTGAACACCGTCTGCTCATTGGCTCTGAGGCACGTCTCTGGACAATAAGGATCCAGGTGAAACCGTACCTGGACAGCTGGACACTGAAACACATGCACTGTAAAAAGTCTGTATTGATCCAAAATAAATCCTGGAAAAACGTGTCCTAACATTTTAAATGTGGATATTGAAAGATGTATAACTCACAGAATGGAGAAGGAATCTAAATAATCATGTTTTACTGCATCCTGATGAGTTCTTTTGCCTCTCATTGTTACCTGGTAGGCTTAGAAAATAGCTGCCCCCTTGTGGTGATGTTTTTAAAGGCCCACAGTTTCAAAACAAGGCACACCTGTCTATGCACAGACCCTGAAGACCGGGAATCAACTAATCACTCATCAGAAGAGATGGAAGAGTCCAAACTCTGACAAACAACACCATCATTTTAGCTTCGAATGATAAAACTCGGGAGAATCGAGGCGTTAACAAATGAGACATTGTGAGACTCACCTATTCTAGCCTGACTCAGCACTAGTAACTGTTGCACTTTCAAACCATTTATGATGGCGGAGCAGATAACGAAGATAAGCCGGAGGTCCTGACAAGGATGTAGCAAGAAAACCACGAAACGGTCTACATCTGTCAGATTACAGGGGCAGACCGGGGGGGACGTGCCTCTGGGAGGGTGCTCTGCTCCCCAGATGTTGAACCGCTGTCTACTCAGTTCACCTGTGCTGACACCAGGTGTGACATCACCAGCTGGAAACACCCCCCCTCCACCTGGTGATAAAATCTACGGGTTTGGTTTATCACGTCCCTTTGAAAATGTAAATGGAACTATTTAATCCAGTCAAATGAGGGACAGATAAACTCAGAGAAACACTCAACGGATATGACAGATAAGAGTTCAGGGTTAGTTATCATCGACTTCTCTGTGTGCCATTTTCCTTTAAATCAAGTAAAAGTTCAGTCATCCCTGTGTCTGAGCTGGTTATACACTTAAAGTAGAGCTGTTTCTTTACAGCTCGGCGGATGAAAACCTTTCACAAAAGGACAGGTGGCACAGAAAATCTCATTTTATGACAGCTAGCAGCGGTTTCGTTTCTTACGAAACGCTGGACTGAGACGTGAACGCCACGGGCCTTTCGCGCCAGTGGCTTTCGCTTTTGCTCGAACAATGGTACCAAAAGCAAACACACGACGAAACTTCTGACTGGCGAAATATCTGCCCCAACGGTTGAATGTGGGGGGGGGGGGGGGCGTGTGTACGCGGTTAGGCGGCCGGTAACGTCCGGGGGGACCAACTGTTACCAACAGCCGACCGCGGGCGCAACGTGCTTGCTAAAACGAAACCGACACCAAAGCTGTCGTTTACACGACACAATACAGGAAACGATAGTTAGAATTCATGTTTAAGTCCCAAGTTTGGCCCCAGGAACAAACCCCCCAAAGCGTGTTATGGTGAAAGTTGAATTAACTTCCTGGGCGGCTAGCTCATACGCAACTAATTCCTGAAGATAGCTATTTAGCTTCTTAGCTCCCGATTTAGGCCGGGAAATTTAGCACACCTTACAAACCACTTCCAAACTCCATTCTCAAGTAAGCAGTCCGGCGTGTAACCCAATTTTGACTGGGGACACAGACTGAAATGTGGATAACTTAGATGTATTCGAGAGGCTAAACTTTGACTTTCTGGCCTAATTTACAGGTGATATGCTACCCGACGTTAATATTTGGTTGGCTAGGTGGCCAGCAATGACCTCTCGTTCATAAAACATCAGAGGCTTAAAATGGCTATAAACGTCGTCTTTAAACAAGAGAGTTGTGTTATATTAGCTTACGGAAAACACCAACTCGCGATACCAACGAAGGCGAGCCTTTAAGTGTTTAAAAATGGCCTTAAAATGACGGAATCAAGACATTTACCTTGGCTAGCCTCCTGCTCGCCGCCATCTTGAAATTACTGTGTTCCCAGAGTACACAGCGCGGCGAAACCGAGTCCGAGCCTGAAAAGTGGAGCAGCAGGCGGCGTGTTACGTTTCAAATCACACCGGTCTGCGGTGGCTTCTTTCATTACATTTGATGACATTTTTACAAAGTGCATTGACATCTTCGTTCAGTGTTAGTCTTAAAAAAAACTAACGATATACTTGTGTGAGTGTGAGGAACTACTTACACTTGTAACACAGTAGTTTGGAATTTTAGAGAATTTTAGATCATCTCATTTAAAAAATAATAATTTGCAGACATCGGAGAGAAGGACCACCAACAGGGAAAAGGTTACATGGAGCAGGGGAGAGGGAGCCGGACACAAAAGAGAACACCTAGGAAAATAAGAGGAACAATCAAGAAAATGCAGAAAAAGCACAGCAAGATAAACAAATCCCACGTCATAAAATACATGGTTACAATAAAGAATGTTTTTTTCTAAACGTGCTGTATTTCACTCTATTGTATAACAACATAAAACAACTTCTATGTCAGTAGTATAAATGACCACACTGGACAGGGGCTGGACATGTACTGTCAGAAAATGGAGAAAATTAATGTCACAGAAAAAAATCTAATGTTTCAGAGAAAACTATTCCCCTCATATGAATTAATGTAGCCATTCCACAATCAAAGCAAAAACGATAATATTAACATCCGCAGATTTCTGGAATCGCGTCATGTAATCCAGACCTTTGTTGATATAATTATCCACTGATCTGTTTGCCCCGGAAACTAAAAGTGGGTGGCCACTAATTCTTCAGGTGAATCAACACTAGACGTTCCAGACATTTTACATTCACAAAGGTCCAATGTTTGGTCTTTTTACCTGTTCACTGAATCATACCCCAGTTCCAGTTCTGTCATGGGCACAATGTGTAGACTATCAGCTTTCATTTAAGGGTATCCATATTTCCAATTGGATGAAGAGTTTAATGAGTTCCAGCTCCCTAACATGAGCCCTCCTCTTTTCAAAGGGACCAAAAGTAATTAGACAGTTGACGCAAAGGTTTTTATCATGGGCATACGAGGGTAATTCATCATGTCTTTATCGATTAAACAGATAGAAGCCCTGGAGTTGATTTGATTTGCCATTTTACTGTAAATGCATTGTGAAGTCATACGACTTGAGAACTTTCCTGGACAAACATCTCCCTTATGAACTAAAGTGGATATCTTGACATTGAAGTAAGTAAAATCATTAATTACAGCAACTAGTCATGTAAATACCTTTATATCATTGAATGCATTTACCAACTTAGATTTCCAGCTTATGTCAGAAGTTTTACAACATTGGGTGAGGATGGTTGTCAAAAATACGTGCTTTGCACAATACACATGTTCACATGTTGTAAAATACTTACAATGTTTAATATTCAAAGTAGGACAGTGCTGACGTTTAAGCTGAACTATGAAGACTGATGAGAGCTTGTTGTTGATAAGACATCAAACAGCCAATGGAAGGCAGCCATAGTTTAAGAATGATATTCAGTAAAAACAAACTACAGATAATACTCATGTCCTCATCAAAGCTGCATGTGACAGACAACAAGAGTGTTTATGAGGAGTCAAGAACCAAGAGGACATTTTCTGAAGATAATGTGAGGAAAATGCATGGTCAACAGGGATGGGCCTTCTCCAAAAGTCTGATTGCCAGGAGATGAGATGAAAAATGGACGTATGGAGATAAAAGGGGGTTCAGGAAGACCAGAGTAGCCGCACAAACTGTGAACTGGAAATGTTCAGCACAAAGTAGAGAGACATTTAAGAATGATATGTTACAATTCCCAAACCTATCAGGAAGGAAATAGTTATGAAACTAGACTCCAGTTGTTCTATTAGCTGTCCCTCTGAAGCCGGTTAAAATATAAAACTAAACAAAAACATACTCTCCCTCATGGTCCCAATTGAATCAATTACTGCTCAGTATTAAAGTCCTTTGAATGCCAGTGTAATCATTCTGAAGTGTTTATCTTCCTGCTTCAATTCCTGCTTTTTCCCTCTGTTCCTTCACGAGCTGCACACACAGATCTTTAAAATATACAATATTTATAAAATGTTGTTTTACTGACTATTCACTGAGCAGTGAGGATTTTAAAAGTTTCATTGGAAACAACAGCTTAGATAAAATAGTCATAAATATTTGGATTTTGTCTTGTCCTGATTTATCACCTGCAGAGCTGGAAGGTAGCTTTGACTCCTCAGTTCAAGATAAGCTCAGTGAACCCCCCAAAATTATGTCAGTTATAGATATTTTAGAATTTAAAAAAATCCAAACTCAAACAGACGGAGCATGTAACCGGAAGCTGTGACGCTGGGTCTCGTGGTGCAGCCGGAAGTCGTCGCCTGTGATATCGCGGTACTTCCGGAACAACAAGATGGCGAAGAATGGGGAGTTTCTGGTAGGCGAAAATAAAAACATTGATTGAAATTTATGTCAGGCAACATAATAACCGGTGACGACAGGCGGAAACCCATAGAAAATCCCGTGTTGGATTAACTCTCTGTTTAATGGACAAGAATCTCGTTTTTATTTAATCAGATCGTAGATAGCTCAACATGTAGCTTATTGCTAACAGTTCTGGTTATCCGTGCAAAATGTTCGGGAATTGTGCTCCTGTATAATTAACTTACGTCTGTTAATGGGCCCTTGTTTTAACTATGCATGTGCACAAACCTGCGAAATAACCACGGAAATGTTTTACTTTAGGAAATAACGTCAGCCGGATACAGTCAACTAAAGTTAGAGGCTGTGTTTGTGATGGCTGCTTAAATCCACATCCCAGCCTGGAGCTGGGATGTGGATTCCAACACCAGAGGGTCCCATTCCCACATTCTAACGTCTGCGATCAGGCAACTACGTCTGTCTGTACTGTCTGACAGAAGCTTGCACCCGTATGTTTAGCAGTAAGAAGGACTAGATGTGTGTAAAGCAGAAGGGCAAACGTTGCCATGGGCTTTGTAGACCCCAGTTAAAGTTACACGTGTGTGACCTGTGCATGCCACTTCTGTGTGTGGCCTTTTTGATTTGAACACAGGGCAGGGAAACTGTCAGAATCCAAACGTTAGTGCAGTGTGTGCAACCATAGACAGCTGGCTCTGTGTCTGGACCTGCCAGTGAATGTTGTGCAGGGTCCTGGGCTTTGTTCTACTTCATCACCACGTGAGCCATTCAGCGGTCACATGACCAATGCTCTTTAACCCTTTATCTACAGCCACAGCCCTGTCCCTATGTATACATTTGATTACTATTTTATAATATTTGATTACTGGAACTCTGTCAAAGTCTGTGCGTACTTGAAAAATTCTGATGCTACCTGTAACATAGTGATGTGTGCGGTATAGTATGGTAACGTGGAATGGCACAGCTAAAACTTCCACAGTGATGGGGGAGAAAAGGGGAGGTGAAAAAGAGAATGAGCCAAAGCATGATGCTTTTCAAAAACAGTTTCAGGTAGTAGTATGTGTGTTATTACACACATTTTAAATGTTAGAACTGTAAAAGAGCCACTATGGGTCAGAGGGGAGCAGAGCGAGCTGAGGGATGCTTCCTCTGAGCTGAGGCAACAAGTAGAATGTGTCCAGATAGCTATTCTAACCTTCAGTGGGTGACAAGTGGGTTAGCTAACAGCTGTAAGCAGGTGATTTGAGCCACAGGGCTTTCCAGCATCGATTCCCAAGCACAGGGATCTGTCTTTGCTCTCCTAAGGGAACAGACTGTGGGATTTGTGGGATTGACGGGTGACGGTGCCGGGTCCCTCTCTCAGCAGGAGGCAGCCCTGTAACACAGCCGTTGGCCTGTTGACTGGTGACACTGCCCCTCCGGCTCCACGCAGAGACCAGCATGAACCTGCAGCAGCCAGCCTCCTTCATCCCCCCCGTCCACCCGGATGTGCAGATGAAAGCGCTGCCGTTCTACGACGTGCTGGACATCCTCATCAAGCCATCGAGTCTAGGTCTGTGGGGTCCTCCGTCTCTTTGCTCTAAAAAAAGTGCCGGTTTGTGATCCTGCTAAGAATCTGAGCTGTGTGGCACGTTCATCTGAGATTATTTTAAGTATTACTAAACATCTTTCCCTTTGAGAACTGTAAATGTTCTTCCATAACATTAGCTTCCAACAGGTCAGGGGTTCAGGTAAAGGAGTCGCTTATCGAGTGACTTCCTGGCCAATCGGATGCTGGCATTCTGCCTCCGCTGACTGCTAAATCTTCCTCTACTGGAAAAGGAAAACCATGTAGAGTCAAGCCCAGCTGTGTGGCTGCTCCTGGAATACCCTCATAAGGGGCACAGCTCCCTCGTCTGGCCTCCTGGTCTTCACTTTGTTTACCTTTTGTCTTTTTAGGAGCAAGCGCAACACAGAGGTACCACCAAGAAAAATATTTCATCTTTGCCTTGACTCCCCAGCAGGTTCGAGAAGTATGCATATCCCGGTAGGTGTGAACAGTTTAGCGGTCTTTAGTCACAGAGGAAGGCCCGCACGCTAAAGCTGGATCTTATTTCTGTTTCCAGAGACTTTCTTCCAGGTGGCAGAAGAGACTACATGGTTCAAATTCAGCTGAGGTAAGCCAAACGGGATCCTAGGAGTGGTTCAGATCCAAACATTTAATCGTTATCGGAGCAGGTGCCACGCCCTAAGCTGAGACGGAGTGGTCACAGAGAACAGGCCGACTGGCCTCAGAGGGAGGGAGTTGCCATGTCCACGTCGTACGATTAATATGCGCTCTTCTGCTCAGCGTGGGCCCAAACTGCCCTTTATCAGCAACTCCATCCTTAGCAAACACAGGCTACACTTTAAAAGGCTGTGGAGACCACTTTGTACGCCACAGTATTTACTAGCAGTTCACTGCCCTCTTCAAATGAGGGAATACTGAGACAACCTTTGTGAATATCTGAGGGGGGAGTACCTTTAGCATTGTTGGAGGACGGGACTGAAAGCTGCTTTCTGCTGTTCAGGTGCATCATTCAAACAGTAGATGGCGCTGAACGTCCATCCTTAATTTCAGTTCTGTTTGATGCGGAAAAGCAAACGGAGAGAAAAACTGCTTTGGAGAGTAACTGAAATGTAACTACAGATCTGCCGCAGTTCAGCAGGAGACAACGTAAAACCACCCCGGCTGTTGGGGAGAACAGGGAGCTCAGATTAGAACTGAGAGACCACCCAAAAGCTCTGGGCCAGATGTGGATGGACTGATGAAACAAAGATGAGGCTGTACCACGGTGTTGGGGGGTTCAGCTGTGAGGAGCAGGGAAGCCCTGGATCTTCTAGGATGATTCCAAACTGGACGTTCAGCAAAGTCTGCTGCTACTAAAGTGTTCCAACCAGAGAGTGAAACAAGAGACCTCCCAAATCAGCTGCGGTGAAAGCCTGGAAAACCAGCACAGGAGAAAAAAATGACAGACGGGCGAAAACAACTGGGAAAAACAGGACACGAACAAACGCAACAATGAAGTAACAACAGTCAAATCTGTTGGTGAAAAACAGATTTTAAAGTAAATGACCCTTCTTTGACCAGCTCCACCTCAACTGAGTGCGATCAGGCCTGCTCACGTGAAGTAGCTTAAGATACTAACAACATGAAATTATTTAGGTAAATAAAAGCTATTGTTACTTTGTGTCGTAACACATGTCTCATAAATGAAATGTTTGAGAATCTTAAAGAAGCCCCTTTGTGTAGAATATGAAATAAGACAGGTGACAGATTTCCACCAGATGACTGGGCTCCTAAAATGTGTGTTTTTTGGCAGGTTCTGCTTGTCAGAGACCAGCTGCCCCCAAGAGGACAACTACCCCAATAGCCTCTGCATCAAAGTGAACGGGAAGCTTTTCCCTTTGCCCGTGAGTGCAGTCAAATCCAGCCGGAACAGTCTTCTAGCAGAAAAACACTGATAGAGCCTCTCCCCCTGCAGGGATATGCACCGCCACCTAAAAACGGCGTGGAGCAGAAGAGACCCGGCAGACCTCTCAACATTACCTCCCTCGTCAGACTTTCCTCTGCCGTGCCAAACCAGATATCGGTCACATGGGCGCCCGAAATTGGAAAGGTGTGCGTTTCCCACCTTAAGCCGGCTGGCTGACTCTGTGGACCTTTTTGACCGTGGCTGTAATTGCTTCTCAGACCTATTCTATGTCCGTGTACCTGGTGAGGCAGCTGACATCGCCACTGCTCCTCCAGAGGCTGAGGATGAAGGGCATCAGAAACCCAGACCACTCCAGAGCACTAAGTAAGCTCCTCTTTTACCAACATATACCACACCACACCACACATTACCACATCACACCATGGCATAGAATACCATACCATAGCATACCATAGCATACCATAGCATACCATAGCATAATATAACATAGCATACCATAACATACCATAGCATAATATAACATAGCATACCA